CTCCTCCAGCGGTTGGTGGTCGTCCATGGCCGCGTGCTGCAGCAGCATTAGCATCTGTGGCTGCGCCTCCTTCGCGCCAAGGGTCTGCTGCCCCTGCCATTGGATCGGGGCGAGGTGCTGCCGCGGGAAGCTGTGAATGAGGTTCAGTCCAGACACAATCACGATATTGTTGAGGAGCAGCGTCGGCGGCAGCGCGTGGAGGATCGTGCGGTTCTTCTTCTCCAGTGTCCATGGCGAAGGTGGGCGTCTGGTGCGACTGGCGAGCTGAAGATCTGCCTGCTCGCGATGCTTGTCCCGATGCTCTCCCCGAGCGTGATTCAGCTGGATGCGAAGAGAAGCCGTGGTCACCGTAGGTTGCCAATATGTTGCGGGTGGCTGATGCACGGGAACCTTTATCTTCGCGCTCATGGGGTCCTCGAGGAACGCGGTCAGATTCCTGGCGTTCTCTTTCGCGGCGACGGTCATTTCTTCGGCGGCTGGCTGAGGGGGCGCTGCGTGAGGTAGATCGCTCTTCACTGGAGAACATGGTTGCGAGTCGACGGGCGCTGGGCTGTTCTGTGCTGCACCACTTGCCAGGTTGAATCCGATGCCACTGCGTAGCTGCTGCTGCTGTTGCTGCTCCTGCTGCTGCTGGGAACGATCGCGTCGACGGCCAGCGGGATATGGATGCGGATATCGGCGACGGAAGTCGGGCCGAGGTCCAGCTGTCGCACGGAGACGGATGTCTGGCCGATGGACAGCACAATCTAGAGGGCAGCCTGCAATGCCAATACTATAAAGATAAATGGGCGGCCGCAAGCCCTGAGCGTAGCGGCAGGAAGCGTGGGTGCCAATTCACCCCTGGCTGTGGCTGGGAAGTGACAGGGTCTGTCCTCGGCTCAAAGGTCTCCATGCGGCCGCACGGCGACATGGTGACTTGAGCCAAAATGGCTACGGAAGGGGGAGGAGGAGGAGGAGGAGGAGGAGGAGGAGGAGGAGGAGGAGGAGGAGGAGGAGGAGGAGGAGGAGGAGGAGGAAGGAGGAGGAGGAGGGGGACCAGAAACAGCAATCGGAGCAGGAAGAGGACCAGCATGAAGGGGAGGATGGTGGAGAAGGGGGTGGGGAAGAGGAGGGGAATGAAGAGAAGGAGGAGGAGGAGGAGAAGGAGGAGGTGGAGGAGGAGGAGGAGGAGCAGGAGCAGGAGCAGGAGCAGGATGAGGATGAGGATGCGGAGGAGGAGAATGAGGAGGAGGAGGAGGAGGAGGAGGAGGAGGAGGAGGAGGAGGAGGAGGAGGAGGAGGAGGAGCGAACGTCCCCAGGGCGCGGGTCTCCCAGCCACTCTAGGCTCCGCGGTGGCGGCAGCTTCGGCTCGCGCGGCGGCGCGGGCTGGGCACCTCAGAAGGCACCCTGTTGGACTGCGTCGAGGCCGTCGGAATCGACAAACTGGAAACGACGTGCTCGCTGAGAATGTCCGCTACCACCTCAGTGTAGGCACCAACGAAGGAGGGCGGCACAGCGACGTCTTTGACGTCGGTTCGTGCGCGGAAGCTGCGCTCCATAGCAACAGAGTGCACTAGATATATAATCTTTCAGTGCAGGTGCTGCCACCGAACCCTTCTTGTTCCAGTTGCACTCCGATGCCAGCTTGGCCACGGCGATGAGGGAGGCGTCGTAGGGCAAGTGGTCCTTGAGATCCGCAGCCGTTTTCAGCACTGTGGTCCAGCGACGTACGGGGCTGAGCTTGGAGGTGGCACAAGCGGCGCACGCTTGCACCTCCGAACGGACACTCACCTCCGCCTGGTGGACAGTATCCACAAGTGGAGCAGGAGGAGCAGCCGTTCGCTGTAGCAGTGTGCGAGCTCGGCAGGTGGTCCGCGTCAGTGTCACCAGCGCGTGCTTGCTAGGTGGGTCAGCAGGGCCTGGGGGAACATCACGTGGCGCGAGGTGGTCAGGTCCGCTAGGGTCATCGTCGTCGCCTCTGCTCGATTTGTCGCTGGCCCGTTTGCGCGAACTCGGCTTCATCAGGGCCGTCGATGTCGCACTGGATGTGAGCGTGGCCTCGCACGCTGCGTCTGGTAGCGCAGCCGCCACCTGGGGAACGCCAGCCAGCAGAGCACACGTGCCCATGTCCAGGTCCATTGTGGCAAGCGGTCTCGGCACGAATCACATCCAGCCGTGGATCACCATCTGCTGTATCAATGCCAGTCGGTGTCGCCGCAGCCCGCAGAAAACCACGCCGCGGAACAACAGCAAAAAGCTGCGCGATCCTGCGCCGTGAGGCCAAGAACAGGACGGTTTTGGACGCCCGAAATGGGTAAGGAAAAATTGGGCACAATGCCCAACAACAAATTTTGTCCCAAACCAACAGCGGCCGCTGTCGGGCAGGCGGCTTTCTGTCTTAAGTGGACACGGGCCGCGGCGGCGCGCACAGCAAGCCCTGCTCAAAATGAACAGGAAATGATGCTGGGAATTGTACCCATTCTTTCTGTACCCATTTCGTGCGTGCAGATTCATCCCGAGCCGTTCCTTGATGGTCCTGGGGCCCGGCAAGGCGCCCCCGGAGAGCCCAAGCGGCCCAAAAAGCCTTCCGCCCCGATGTCCTCCAGGCCTCGAGCAGGAGGACGAGGAGGAGGAGGAGGAGGAGGAGGAGGAGGAGGAGGAGGAGGAGGAGGACGAAGAGGAGGAGGAGGAGGAGGAGGAGGAGGAGGAGGAGGACGAAGAGGAGGAGGAGGAGGACGAAGAAGAGGAGAGGAGGAGGAGGAGGAGGAGGAGGAGGAGGAGGAGGAGGAGGATGTTGTGCATTGTACCCATTCTTTCCGTACCCATTTCGTCCGTGCCGAACGGTGCAGTGAAGGAGGTGCCTGTGCGACGTCCGGCTCCGCGCGCTCGCGGCAGCCCGCGGCCGGCGGGCCGTGCGGACACTCCGGGGCCCGTGCACTTGCCCGAACGAGACCTCCAGCCTGTCACCGCCGGGGCGCCCAGCGAGAGGAGGAAAAGGCAGAGGAGGAGGAGGAGGAGGAGGAGGAGGAGGAGGAGGAGGAGGAGGAGAAGGAGGAGGAAAAAGGACGAGGAGGAGGAGGAGAAAAAAGGACGAGACAAAACAAGACGAGGGGCGTGAAGAACAGCGCCATCAGCATCGTGAGGATCGCCACCGACATCCGGAAGAACAGAATCAGCGTTGCGGCGATCGCCTCCTTGCGCCTGGCCGTGGGGTGCCACCATCAGCACGTAGAGCCGCAAGACCATCGCGGCCACCCGATCCGTCCTCAGCAGGGCCAGGCACAGCATCGGGTTGACGAGGAGCAGACAGAAGAGCTGGTGCCTCTGCTGGTGGCGTGGGCGGGGGCTGAATCCCCGTTCCCACGTTGTCGGCCTCGCCGCCTAGATCGTGTTGAGGTCCACGAGCTTCTTGCAGTTGAGCCCGATGTCCATCGCGTGCGGCCTGCAGATTTTGAGCATCATCTGGAGGGTCAGGGATTGAAGTGTGCCCGTCGTGGTGGCCCACACCGAGCAGAGCAGGATCACCATTGCGAGAGCCTTCAGCAGCTCGTGGTGCACTTCTATCGTCGATGCGCACCCTGTCAGCGTCGCGTCGGACGGCACCAGCGGCGCCAGCCCTAGGAACAGCCGCTGCGTTTCCATGGGGACCCAGCCGATAGTCGCGCCGAGCATGCCCCTCCCCGTGTGGGTCGACGGCACGAGGTAGAAATGGTTGCGCGCACTCAGCAGCGGCCGCGCCTGCAGCAGCGCTGGCGGCAGCACGTCCGGATGAGGGGTGATCACATTCTGGCTGTGGAACTCCGTGGCTACCAGCTCGTTCTTCGAGCAGCGTGAGCTCGACCTCAGAGTCAATGTCGTGCGCGATGCTGTTGTCCATATCGGTTGCATTATGATGCCCGTAATCTGGTGCGGTGGGGCCGGCAAAACCGCATCCAGCAAGACGACTATTCGCAAAAGGAGCGCGCACACCAGGCGGCGAACAGAAGGAGGAGAAGCCGAAACATAATTCACCTGCAGCTCCGCGATGAACGACGTCACCTGCTGAATGTCAGAGTCGACGCACGTTGCAGTCGGGTAGGCGACATGCTGGTTGAGGGAGACGATGTGAAAGACCGCATCCAACAAGACCATGAGCTGGGCCATGTACGGGATCAGCGTGCCAACCGAGTTCTGGATCGCATCAATCTGCATCGCGGTGTCGTTGGTGGGAGCCGCCTTGTCGTTAGCAACGTGGTCTCCCGCTCGCGGCGGGGCTCGGACTGGCCGTGCACATTATTCGATTTGATGGCCATGGCGGGAAGCGCATGGAGCGGCCAGGCTGTTCTCACGCGGAAGGGGCACATGCATCCTCACGAACGTCAGCGCCGTCCCGAAGACCTGCCCAGGCGGTGCGCTGGGAGTCCAGCTGCGATCCCGGGGCCGTGTGGGCGTGCTTGCCTCTGTCCGCGCGCTCCAGGACGCCCCTCGCTTAGCTGTACTCGCCCCTAGTGAGGCGCCCGTCATTCCAGGCTCGGTAAGCAGCGACCTTACCACATGCAGCTGCAGCAACAGCGGCGGCGTCCAGCGCTCTGTAGAGCTCCTTGCCCTTGACCCTCATGCGCACGTCGCGGCGGTCGTGCTCCTAGACCTCCACGAAGCGTTTGCCAGGTTGGGCGTGGGCCGTGCGGTACCACGCATCCCGCTCCAGGCGGCGTGTTTGCGACGAGGACAAGGCCCTGGCCACTGCCGCCGCGTCGACATAGGAGCGCAGGCCAAGCATGGCCGCACCACACACATGTGGTAGGAAACGACAGACAAGCCAGATGACTGCCGCGAGCTCGCAGGGCCAGCCATCGCCAGCTGCATGAGAAGAAAGAACCACACGCGGGGCGGGCAGCGCAGCCGCCGTTCAGGGAGCTCTTGAGCCAAAACGGCTACGGAGGAGGAGGAGGAGGAAGGGGGGAGGGAGGGAGGGAGAACGAAGAGGAGGAGGAGGAGGAGGAGGAGGAGGAGGAGGAGGAGGAGGAGGAGGAGGAGGAGGCCTCGCTGGATCCGCAAGGTATGGAGGCCAAGGGCCGCACGCGCACGCGCCCGTCGGGGAAGACCGTCGGGTCCTTGCGGAAGTGGACGGCCCCGTCGGCGTCCTCGCGGACCTGGCACTCCGCCCGCCCGTCCAGCAGGTCGAAGGCACGGCCGTTGTGGAGCTCCGCGAACCGCACGCTGAGCTGGAGCCCCTTCTCCAGCTCCTCGAAGATCCTGTCCGCGCCGAGGCGGTACAGGCCGAGCTCCGGCCCGTAGCCGAGGACCTGCGGTCGGGAGGCCGTGCTCCGCGTGCCGCGGCGGCCAACCCGGGCGACACGCTGTGCCCGGCGAGCGGACCGCGTGCCGCTCCGCCTCGCAGGGCGGGAGGCCGGGAAAGGCTCGAGATTTGGGCGCCAGGGATGAAGGGGCCCCAGGACACACAAATAAATACACACAAATAAAAGGATTCCCCATATTTTCCCATATTTTCTTGGTTTTTGTCTTCCCCACCACTTCCCATATTTTCTTATATTTTCTGGGGAATTGACGATTAATTGTGTCTGTGTGTTTCTTTCCCTCCTGAAGGGAACCAGGACAGGGCCAGCGTGTCGCGCCGCGGCGCGGTGGGTCAGGACCGGCGGCGCGACACGCTGAGCCACGGTTACGGACCGTAAGAGAAAGGCACGCGGACGCGTGCCGTCCTGTCTGCGTGACGTACCATTCTGTCCAGAGCCCTGGGGGCTTACCCACTTTTCCTTCCACAATCGACTGCCCCAATTGCAGCTCACAGAGCTCCAACTGGGGTGATTTGACCACCATTCTGCATTATTTGCTGCGCTGCGTCTGTTTAGAAGACGCAGAACGTCGAAATGGCCCCACAATGAACGTGTCAGGCCTTCACCCAGTGCTGACACCCAGTGGGGAACTTGTAACGACCTTGTGACAATTTGGCGTCGCACATTTCCACGCTCCTCAACCTCAACCTCAACCTCAACCTCCTCCCCCTCCTCCTCCTCCTCCTCCACCACCTCCTCCTCCTCCTCCTCCTCCTCCTCCTCCTCCTCTCCCTCCTCCTCCTGCTCCTGCTTCTCCTCCTCCTCCTCCTCCTCCTCCTCCTCCTCCGACTCCGCCTCTTCCTATTCTCCCTCCTCCTCCTCCTCCTCCTCCTTTTCCTCCTCCACCTCTTCCTCTTCCCCTCCTTCTCCTCCTCCTCCATCTCCTCCGACGCCTCCTTCTCCTTTGCAGACCGTATGCGTCTTGCCACTGCCGGTATGGCCATAGCAAAACAGGCAAGCTGACTTGCCTCTGAATATTGTGCTAACCATGGGCTCCACGGCAGCATCGAACACCTATGGGAGAGCCCTTCACGGGGTCACTCCCGAGAGGGGCACCAACCTTGTGAGCCTTTCACAATTCCTGGGAGATAGAGGAAGAGGAGGATGAGGAGGAGGAGGAGGAGGAGGAAGAGGAGGAGGGGGAGGAAGAGGAGAAGGAGGAGGAGGAGGAGGAGGAGGAGGAGGAGGAGGAGGAGGAGGAGGAGGAGGAGGAGGAGGAGGAGGCGGAGGATGATGAGGAGGAGGAGGCGGAGGAGGCGGAGGAGAGCGGGAGCAGGAGCAGGAGCAGGAGGAGGAGGAGGAGGATATCTTCCTCCAGCTGTTTCTTCGCCTCCTCCCCTCCTCCACCTCCTCCTCCTCCTCCCCTCCTCCTCTCTTCCGCCTCCTCCTCCTCCTGACCTTCCTCCTCCTCCTACTCCTCCTCCTCCGCCTCCTCCTCCTCCTCTCTCCTCCTCCTCCTCCTCCTTCCTCCTCCTCCTCCTCCTCCTCCTCCTCCTCCTCCTCCTCCTCCTCCCATCCTCCTCCTCCTCCTCCTCCTCATTCTCCTCCTCCTCCGCCTCGTCCTCCTCGTCCTCCTCCTCCTCATCCTCCTCCTCTTTCTTTTTCTCTTTCTCTTTCTCCTCCTCCTACTCCTCCTCCTCCTCCTCCTCCTCCTCCTCCTCCTCCTCCAGGAGGGAAGCACTCGGACGACCCGAGGCGACGGCGCCGTGAAGCAGCGGTCTCGATCATTCAGTGGTGCCCGTTCCATCGGCTCTGGAAACTCGGCTCAAAACAATACCGCTGCGGGGCCACAGGGAGCCGGCCACCACGGCTGCAACCTTGGCCCTGGCCACGGCCCCTGAGGGCGCGTCCGGGTATTTGATCAGGAGGGCCTGGCCCAGGCGCAGCAGAACGGCCACCGGAGGTGCCAACGAAGCCTTGGCATCGAACACGGAGTAGAGGGCTTAGTGGAGCTCGAGCAGTGGGCCCTCCCCTGCAGATAGCGACGAGGCGAGGCTGGGCTCGGAGGGGGGCCTCGGCCGCGCGTCAGGCAGTGCAGCTGCTGATGCTTGGGCGTGGAGGGCGGCGGAGTGGGCGTCGGAGGTTGGCACTGTGCGTGCTGCTGAGCATGGGGATCGGTGCGACTCGACAAGATAGGTCTCGCTCATCACGCTCACGGTCTCACAGTACAGACAGGAATAGGCAACAACATGATGGATACTGGGACGCGACGGCAGCCCTCGTGAGGCGCCGCGCCCGCGAGGCCCTCCAGCTCGCCCTCGAGGCCGATGCTGCCAAAGCCGAGCGAGCAATTGGCCAAGCAGCGTGTTCCTCCTCCCTCGAAGCGGCGAGCGGCCATCGATAGTTCGGCTCACTCGCTTGGTCCTGTCGGCCCGAAACGGCAAGGAAGTACGTTGCTCCTCCCTCCTCGAATTCTGCAAGACGCCCTGCCAACCGCCTGCGCAAACCAGGCCATGTCTGGAGGCGCAGGTGCCGTGTGCGAGCCGGGAGCCCCAGCAATGGCAGCAGAGATCCACCCATCCCAGAAACGCGGGTGGTACAGGGCCTACTCCCGCCACTACTACCACGAGTGCGGCCTGATGGCCACTGTAGATTTCGGGCACGTGATGAAGCGTGGCCCGGGCAAGACGGCCAACGGGCAAGGGACTCTGTCCAGGATTGCACCTGGCCATCGCTCGGACGTCCATTCCCTGGTTTTTTTTGGGGTTTCGTGCGTGTTTTTTTCGCCAAATGATCAAGGATGCTACTCGATGGTCCTCGCCGAGGAAAAAACGCACACGTCCGAGCGATGCCAAGGCCAAGGGGCTCTAGCCCAGACGGGAGGGAGCCCCCAGGGCGATCCGAGCTGCTGCGTTCCTGGCCAACGTAGCGGAGGCGGTCCAGCAAGTCGCCAATCGCCGAGGGCTCGTGGCCCAGGAGGGCGGGGGCGGCTCCACGAGGTCCAGTGGGGCTCGCGACGGGAACGAGCCAGCAACGAGAACTTGCAGAGCTGCAGACGCGCGCGTGGGCCAGGCGGAAGGAGGTAGTTCGCAGGTGTCGCCAAGGATCCCCTTGGAGAGAGGGCGGCCCGACCCTGGTCCAGCTCTGCCACTGCCCGCGGCAGATATTTCAGCAGAAGCGTGAACTGAGAACAGCGCCAGCTGTGTCTGGCGTTGTCTTCGGCTCTCGTCCAGTGGTGGCTCGGCCGTCGCTCGCGCGTGCCTCGCAACACTAAAACCCGTCTTTCGCTCCCTTCCTCCTCCTCCTCCTCCTCCTCCTCCTCCTCCTCCTCCTCCTCCTCTTCTATGCGTTTCCCTTGTCAAGAACTCCTCCTTGTCGCACCCCCGAGACCTGTCGGTAGGGCGGACCAGGCGTTTCGCTTGAGACTTCTTCACTGTTCATGATCCTGAGCAAAGAGGAGGGTGCGCCGCTGGATAACCCCAAGGGGGGGGGAGTTGGACCCCCCCCCTTTCCTCGATCCGTCGTCGGGGACCCCCCCCCCCTCCCCCCCTTCCCCGATCCGTCGTCGGGACCCCCCCCCCTTCCCAGGGAGATCCACTGGCGCACTTTCAGCAAAAAGGATGCAACAGCTTCGCGGGGTGGAGGGCGGGCGGTGTTGAAGGTGTTGCTCTCGCCTTCACGCCGCGCGCATTCGTTTAAAGAATGGAGGAGCTTCACGGATGGGGGGGGCCGGTTCCTTCTCACCATGTGGCGCTCGCCTTAGCGCCACGCGCACTCGCCCTAAATGCTTGCAAGAGGTTCGCGTTTGCTTTTTGTTCCCCACCCAGCAGGATGGGGTCGTTGGATTTTGGGAGCAGACCTCCCAGCCCGCCCGCCCTGCATATCGCGGCCGTCAGATCCCCAGGCTCCCGATGATCCCTGGTGGTCCCGCCCCCCTCCCCCCGCCCTGCATGCCGAGGTTGCCAGATCCCCAAGCTCTCGATGATCCCTGGTGGTCCCGCCCCCCACGCCGACTCGCCCACTCTGCATACTGCGGCCGCCAGATGCACAGGTCCCTCGATAATCCCTGAAGGTCCCACCCCCCGCGCCGACTCGCACACTCTGCACATCGCGGCCGCCAGATCCCCAGGTCCAAAACAGAACAGAAGATAACACCACACTACCGAGCATAACATATCCGAGCATCACATACCGTATCATGACATACCATTTCGTAGCCTAACACACCGTGACAGAACAGTGCATACCATAGCACAACATCACAACACACGCACACCATAACACATCAACGCATAACGGAACATACCGACACATACAATTCCACACAGTCACACAACATGGCATACCATGTCATGTAACAACACAACATGCCAAACCATGCTATGACATAACGGAGTAGACATGACATACCATACCATATCATACCATAACATGGCATAGTAGAGCACCACACAATATACCATAACACAGCAAACCACACCATAAGACAGCATCACACCACATATCATTCCATACCATGGCACATCACAACATGACAGAGCGCTGCATGACATGATATGCCATATCAAGATATGCCATAACAGAAACCCATAAGCTATGACGTTAATGGGTCCCACATAACACAGCAGAACACCACATCTCACAACATCACACACCAGAGCATACGATGGCACACCATAACATACCAGATCGTATCATCACATAAGCCGCGAGTTTCGGTGGGGATCGCTCGAAGCAAACTAATTTGCTGTTGTTGTTGTTGTTGTTGTTGTCCACATTGTGGCTTTCGCACGTTCGTCCTAACATCTTGTAAGAAATTCACGGATTGAGGGCGATTCCGTTTGAAAGTGTGACTCTCGCATTGGCACCCAGCACATTCGTCTTAAAATCCGCCGACCCTGTCGGCGTGTGTGAGGGGCTTGTCCGTTCAAGTCGTCATCTCCGTCATTCGTTGGTCGTCGTCTGAGTCGTCCCCTTTCCCTGCCTCCCCCCTTTCCCTGGGCTCGTCGAATCTCCCCCCTTTCCCAGGGACCTCCTCAGCGCGCCAGCCAAAGCCAGCCAAAGAGAAAATAAGCAACGTCGTAATTGAGTCGAAGGGAAGCCCCTTCCCTTCGATCCCTCCCCCGCCGTGTGTGTGTTTGTGTGTGTGTGTTTGTTTGTGTGTGTGCGTGTGTGTGCGCGTGTGTGTGTGTGTGTGTGTGTATGTGTGTGTGTGTGAATTTGTGTGTGTGTGTGAATTTGTGTGTGTGTGTGTGTGTGTGTGTGTGTGTGTGTGTGTGTGTGGGGGGGGGGGGGGGGGGGGGGGGGGGGGGTCCCCGGGGGGGGGGTCAGACGCCCCTTGGGGGGGGGGAGTCAGATACGACGCCCCCCTGGGAGTCCCGGAGCCCAAAAAAGCCTCAAGACGGGGCAAGAGTGCCCCAAGAGGCCCCAAAGACAGTCCAAGAGAACCCCGAATCGCCGAACGATCTGTCCAAGACGCCTTGACGGCCTCCAGACGGCCCAAGAGGCCTGCAAAGCGCCCCTAAGAGGCCTCCAGGAGCTTTCTCACGAGAGGCCCAAGAGGCAAAATTCATGGATTTCCCATACGTTTTTGAAAGATTTTGGCGTTCTTGCCTCTTCCGCTTCCCGACGCGCCAAGACGGCCCAAGAGGCCCCCAAGATTGCCCCAAGATGGCCCAAGAGGCCCCCAAGACCGAAGGGGGCCCCAAGACGGCCCAAGACGCCTCCAAGACGGCCCACGAGGCCCCCAAGACGGCTCCAGGAGAGTGCACAGACGGAGGACCCGAAAGGAAATTTCGAGCTCCCAGCCCCAAGAGGCCCCCAAGAGGTCACCCAAGAGGCCCCGAAGAAGCCCCAAGAGGCCCCGAGAGGCTCCCAAGGGGCCCCCAAACTGCCCCAAGCAGCCCAGGAGAGCCCCAAATTGCCCAGGAGGCCTCCAAGAGTGCCTCGAGACGGCGTAAGAGGAGCCCTGGACGGCCCAAGACGGCCTCAGGAGAGCCACAGGCTGTCCCAAGAAAGCCTCTGGCCTCCTCCTCCTCCTCCTCCTCCTCCTCCTCCTCCTCCTCCTCCTCCCCCCCCTCTGCTCCCCCTCCTCCTGCTCTCCTCTGCCTCCTTCTCCTCCTCTTGCTTCTCCTCCACGTCCTTCTCCCCCCTCCGCCTCTCTCATCCACCTCCTCCACCCTGCCCCCCCTCGTTTTCATCTTCGTCTCTCTCAGGTTCGGCGGCGACGGCCGTAATGCCTTCGCAATACTGTAAGGGTTTCGCGGATGTATGGTGTTATTCTCTGTATTATAAAATGTTGTTCTCGTCTGCGAGCCGCGCATATTCTTTTAACATGTTGCAGAAGTTTGGGATGGGAGCGGTTCCTTTTTTTTCAAAATGTATATCTCGTCTTAGCGCATCGCGCTTTCATCCTAAAACGTCGCAAACATTTCATTGATGGAGGGCGGTTCTTTCTCAAAACGCGGCTCTCGCCGTAGCGCCGCGCACATTCGTCTTAAACATTTACAAGGGCTTCATGGATGGAGGGTAATTCCTTTTCAACATGTGGCTCTCGGTGCCGCGCACACTCGTCTTCAGTTTCAAGGATTCTTCTGGTTGACGTCCCAGGAATGGTGTTCTGGTGCGGTTCAGGAGCGTCAGGGCGCAACAGTCATTTTGATTCGCGGTGTTGAAGTCGCAGCAATGGCGTGCTGGCGCGATTCAGCATCGTCAAGACGCACCAGTAAAATTGGTTCGCGTCGTTGAAGTCCTAGGAATGGTGTTTTGACACAAATCAGGACTCTCGGACGGTCGTCTTCCAACGGGGCACTTCCCCCAATTAAAACCAACTTTTGTCGGGACCTATGGAGAGGGAACCTGGAGGGTGTATTGCAACATCGCTGATGCGTCTTGAATTTAGACTCGTCCTCCTCCTCCTCCTCGTCCTCCTCCTCCTTCTCCTCCTCTTGCTCCTCCCCCCCAGGCCTTCATGGAAGGGTAGCAGGGCCGGCGCCCCCCCTCTGGAGTGACACTCCTAGGAGGCGCCCCCCCCCAACCTCGGCATTGCCCTCCGGCCCGCGGAAGACGCCTGAATAGCCGGCGCCTTTCCAAGTTTTCACGCGCGGCATGCGGTCGCTCGTCACGGAGACCGACATGGTGCCCCGGCCGTCCTCTCCGCGCACCCGCGCACCCGCGGACAACAGTGGAAGAGGAAGATATCCTCCTCCTCCTTCCCCTCCTGCTCGTCTTCTTCTTCTTCTTCCTCCTCCTCCTTTTCTCCTCCTCCTCGTTCTCCTCATCCTCCTCCTCTTCCGAAGCCATTTTGGCTCAAGTTCGTCGCGGGAGGCTGAGGGGCTGAGACATTCTGGCGAGGGGAGTTCGCGGCTCCACACTTCATTGTACGTTCGCTTGTCTCTTTTGCAAGTCATTGTCCAGGGTCACGGCTGGACAGCTGTATCACTGAGGGCAGGCTCACGGTGCCACCTGCCAGGCAGGAAAAGGCGCATCATCAGCAACGTAGCAACACAATGGACTCAAGAAACGGAGAACTGCTTGGGCGACAACTAGGTAGTTGCTGTAAGCAATGCTGGCCGACGTCAACAGGCAACACGTGGTGGAACAGGTCAAGCTTGGATCAGTGCAGTCTGTGCAAGCAAGCTAAAAAAGGAACCGCTTTCGGAGGAGGAGGAGGAGGAGGAGGAGGAGGAGGAGGAGGAGGGGGAGGAGGAGGAGGAGGAGGAGGAGGAGGAGGAGGAGGAGGATGTCTCCTTCAGCCCATCCAGGAGCGCCCTGCCGCCGGAGCAGTCCTCGGACGGTGGAGCAAGCAAGGAGTGGGCGCAGAAGTGAAGCGGTTGCGCGCGGAGTTGTCGAGGCTCCAGGGCCAGCAGGGCCAGCAAGGGGCTCCCAACGGCGAAGGCATGGAGATTGACGAGCACGCCGCCGACGGGACCCCCGACTCGTATCTCAAACGTGAGATGTCTGAAGTGGCCTCTCCCTTGTCTAAGCCGGATGGGGCAGGCGACTGCCAGGATTTCCAGGAGGCGAGGGAGAAGCTGCGGAGCCGCATGGCTGAACTTCGTAAGCGTGTTATCGCGGGGAAGAGTCTGAATATCAGGCTCAAAGGGATGTCGTTCCAACATGCCGAGCTGGAGAAGCGGAATAAGCAGTCGCAGCTCGTAGACTCCTTGCGCGCCAAGCCGAACATTCATCCTCCAGGCGGTGGTCGTGTATGCATTCCCGCCTCGGGGGCGCCGCCTCTCGCGCAGGGTCGAGGACTCCGCGTGGCTCCGCACTCCCGGCCAGTGGCCCGACCGGGGACACGCCAGGCGACTGCGAAGCCCGCCCGGCGCAGCACCGTGCACTTGGGCGGGACCCTCGGTGGCGCGGTCGAGGCCGCCGGGAAGCAGCCCGGAGCCCAAGCGCTCCAGGAGGCCGCGACCCGTGGAGGCCCCCAGAAGCCTTGGGGGCGCTCTCTCGCCATCGCTCGGACGTCCAGGCCTTTTTACCTGACAGCTCTTGCTGATAGGTTTCTAGTGGTCTCAAAAGAGAGCATCATGACTCCTCAGGGGGGTCTGGGCGGGACCCGGGGAGGCTGCCGCCGAAGCCGAAATCGCTTGGGACATCCTCGCAAAATCGCTCTTGGTGCTCCCAGAACTCCATTCCCGGGCCACATTTTGGATGCCCGGAGCCAACTGTAGGCCACTTCGTGCTCTTCGACTTCCCAGAACTCCATTCCCGGGCCACATTTTGGATGCCCGGAGCCAACTGTAGGCCACTTCGTGCTCTTCGATTTCCCAGAACTCCATTCCCGGGCCACATTTTGGATGCCCGGAGCCAACTGTAGGCCACTTCGTGCTCTTCAAGTTCCCAGAACTCCATTCCTGGGCATGATTTTGAATGCCCGGAGCCAACTGTAGGCCACTTCGTGTTCTTCTAGTTCCCAGAACTCCATTCCTGGGCCACATTTTGAATGCTGAGGCAGGCTGATGCTGCGGCCGAGGCAGGCTGAGGCTGAGGCAGGCTGAGGCTGAGGCCGAGGCTGAAGGCAGACTGAGGCTGAGGCTGAAGCAGACTGAGGCTGAGGCTGAGGCAGGCTGAGGCTGAGGCTGAGGCAGGCTGATGCTGAGGCAGGCTGAGGCTGAGGCTGAGGCTGATGCAGGCTGAGGCTGAGGCAGGCTGAGGCTGAGGCCGAGGCTGAAGGCAGACTGAGGCTGAGGCTGAAGCAGGCTGAGGCTGAGGCTGAGGCTGAGGCTGAGGCTGAGGCAGGCTGAGGCTGAGGCTGAGGCAGGCTGAGGCTGAGGCTGTGACTGCGACTGCCGTTGCCGCTGCGACTGTCATCGCGAATGCGACTACGACTGCGAGAACAGCAGAATTCTACAACTGGATTTTCATCTGAATCTTAAGGGGAATGCTTTCAGATATGCTTCTACACATCGCTGTTAGGTTGCTTTGCCGGGATATTTTTTTGTCATCGCCATCACCAGCGCTTGCCAGGTAGAGTTTCGAGCACCTTCCCAGAAACCTGGACTGGCCAGCTCTGTAAGGCCAGCTGCGGTAGCGGTGCGTCCGTATGGCAAAATCCGGAACACGCTGTTTGAAAAGCGAACGCGCGGTTCGGCCCAAATGACCTTCGGAGGCCAGAAACCTCCTCCTCCTCCACCCCCACCTCCTCCACCTCTGGCGCTCTCGGGGGCCTCTTGGGCCATCTCGGAGCGTCGACCACCCGAGGAGGCGAGAGCACGAAAAGCCTTCGAAGCATGTGAGAATCGATGATCCACGGTGGCGCCGATAATTACCGCCTACGCCCGGCCGCCTGCGAAAAGGCGGCAGGCGCAGCAGCACCTCCGCCACAGCGGGGCGCTCGAGCCATCATGGTCACGGAGTGGGGGTGGGGAAGGGGGCGGGAGGGAGGGGCGGTAAAAGCAAGGGCCGTCGCCGCCGCTGCCCCTCCTCCTCCTCCTCTCCTTCTCCTCCTCCTCCTGCTCCTCTTCCTCCTCCTCCGCCGCGCCCTCCTGGAGATGAGGGCGGAACGTGAGTTTTGTTTTGCGAGAACTCCTAAGTCAGATCAAGCTGGCGTTTAGCACCAGCCAGACGCCAGGGGAACAGCCGCGACAGCGACGCTTCGGGAAAACGCAGGCCGCGCGAGCAAACGACGCCAGGGCCCCAACGAAACCTTGAGCCCGGAGCGGCGCATGCTCACGAGCCCACTGCAGCGGGCAGCGCGCACTGCAGGGCCCGCGAACGATAGGGGCCGCCTGCTCTTCGGGCAACGCACATGTTCACATACACAACGCTCACACATGTACTGCGCTGCACTGTGCGGGCGTGCTCGCCCTCGGAAACGGCGCGTCGTTCATGCCGTTTGTCGTCATCTGCGGCGCAGTAGCACCCCGAGCTCTGGCGAGCTTGATTTGAACATTGGTTTCGCAGCCCGCGCGAGCAAACGACGCCAGGGTCCCAGCGAAACCTTGAGCCTGGAGCGGCGCATGCTCACGAGCCCACGGCAGCGGGCAGCGCGCACTGCAGGGCCCGCGAACGATAGGGGCCGCCTGCTCTTCGGGCAACGCACATGTTCACATACCCAACGCTCACACATGTACTGCGCTGCACTGTGCGGACGTGCTCGCCCTCGGAAACGGCGCGTCGTTCATGCCGTTTGTCGTCATCTGCGGCGCAGTAGCACCCCGAGCTCTGGCGAGCTTGATTTTAACATTGGTTTCGCAGCCCGCGGGGTCTTTTCATCAGCCGTGGAGGGGGGGGGGGGGGGCATGATTTGTTAATCACAAGCTGGAATTCTTTGCAACTGGGGGGGCTTGGGACCCGTGGCCTTCCAGACTTCCACGGGCCGAGGCGACGCCGGAATCCGGAAACCCAGAGCGGCGCGGGTTCCCACGGGACCTCGGCCAGGCCCGAGGAATGGACGGATCCTAGGGTAGTCGATGCGGCAGGCGGACCCCCCCGCGCAAGTGACTGAGACCCTTGGCATCGGAATGGGGATGGGGCCGAGTTGCTCAGGCCGACCTGAGTCCCCAAAAGTTTACTGGCCCACTTGCCAGTCTCCCACAAGAGGGGCCCTTGCAGCTGACAGATGCGAGCCTTTTTCCGCCAGCAAGCTCATCATCTCTCCTGGCAACCGCCCCCCCGCGTGCAGGTGGACGGGTGAGAGGGCGAGCGACAACTTCTTCAGGCGAAGTGTGCGTATCAGCCACCTAGAGGTGACAGGTTCAGACCACCATCCAGTGGCGTGGGTGGGGCTCGTGGGTCCGAAGGGAGAACGTGCAGTGACCATGGTGCCACTCGGAGCGTCATCAGCAGTGAAGCGGTCCAACTGAGCCGCAACCCTGTAGCCCATCTTGTGGGGCTTCCTGACCATGCCGTCAAACTTGGGCCCTCGCTAGCTGGGCTCGACGAACATGGCCGCGTCGGCGTGGCAACCAGCCACCCATCGGTGCGCGGTGGCTGGACGCACTGAGATGCTGGAGCATGCGAACTTAAGAGGGTTCGCAGTGCCCTGAGCGGGCCTGATACCGCTGCGACGCTGAACCTGGAGAGGCGACGATGACCCCCGCCCAAGATTTGTGTTCTGAACTTCAAATTGGCGACGCTTAGCCTGGGGGGGCGACGCGGAAACCTCCCTGGGGAAGTTTGACCCTAACCAGGAGCATCCCTTGCAAGTCCACTGTCCGCACGAGCATACAGTGTAGTCGCGGCGAGGGCGATCATGATAATGAAATGCCTTAGCTCCACCATCAGGCACTTCTACCCACGGCGCCCGCGTCCACTTCGACGGTGACGCATGCTGCCAAGGGGCTGGAACCATGAACGCCCCAGCTAAAGCTCACAGGAAAGAAGGTCTGGAAAGGGCGGACTCCCGAAACATATTGGGAAAAGGCTTGCCGTGGGGAGGACCACGGCAAACTCCAGCCTGGGACGTACTAGGCGAACACACGACAGCTGCCGCGGATCAGCGGTATCCGCTAGGTGTCGTGGACAACCAATCGACATGAGCCAGAATGACTGACTACGGAACGCAGCAGAAGAGGCGGAAGAGGAGGACGAGGAGGAGGAGGAGGAAGAGCATGAGGAGGGGGAACTTGAAACGTGGGGTCAGCTCCTTGACGCACTCGTGAACCACAGCGGCATCGCCCCGCTTGAGCTCCTGGCCCACAAGAGGACGCCACCTGACGAAGACCTTCACCTGCGCCATGCGGCCTTTTGTTGGGGCCCCCCAGGGGGTCACTGCGGAGGGGGGCGCCAGTTTTCTCCTGCAGCTCCTCCTCCTCCTCCTCCTCCTCCTCCTCCTCCTCCTCCTCTCCTTCCTTCGCCTTCTCCTCCTTCTCTTCCTCCTCCTCCTCCTCTTCCTCCTTTTTCTCCCCGTCTCTTCCTTCTCCTTCAACCCCCTCGTCCTCCACCTCCAAATCCTCCGTTTCCGTCCTCCTCCTCCTCCTCCTCCTTCTCCTCCTCCCCCTCCTCCTCCCCCTTCTCCTCCACCTCCTCCCCGTGCCAACGCCATTCGATACTGCCGACTGGGCTAAGTTCAGGGGGCGCACGGGGCGCCACCACGAGTTGTCATCGCTCGGAAAGCATCTCAAGGTGGCCTCATATCTAATGAAAGGCTGGGCCGATTCCCCGCACGCAGCTGCGACCCGGCACTCTGCGCCCCAGCACCATGCATCAACGAGCTGGGGATCTTCATTCGCCATCTGGAAAGCAAGGCATGGCCCTCCCAAGAGAGGTCGACATCAGCTACAGGCCACAGGCGGAAAAAGGCCCCTTGGAACAAGCAGGCACCACCCCCAATGCAATTAGGTCCGCCTCGATGCTACAGTGTAGGGGTGGACCTTCCCCAGTCGTGAACTTTCCTGTTTCCAATGCTGCGTGGGGGTGGGCCTCCCCCCGTCGGCTCGCCTGCGGTATCCTTCCCCATCAAACGCGCAACCAGAACCTGGCATCCCCTAGACTGCGCTTTTTGAGCTAAGGTAGCTCATAAGAGCGTTCGCGCGTTATCCTGCGTCTGGTCCGCCTGAGCATTCCGCGTCGTCGTCGAGCTTTTTCGTGATCGTCGTCGTCGTCCTCCTCCCCCCAGTCCACGTCATTCTCCTTCTCGCCCTCGCCACCCCTTCCACTACACTTCCTCCTCCTCCTCCTCCTCCTCCTCCTCCTCCTCCTCCTCCTCCTAATCACCATCATCATCGTCATCAACATCATCGTCACCATCACCATCACCATCACCATCACCATCATCATCACCATCATCATCAGCATCATCATCATCAGCATCATCATCAGCAACATCATCATAATCATAGTCAGCATCATCGGCATCCTTCCCCTTCTCTCTCCCTCCCGCTCCTCCTCCTCCTCCTCTTCCTCTTCCTCCTCCTCCTCCTCCTCCTCATCCCCCTCATCCTGATCCTCCTGGTCTTCCTCCCCCTCCTCCTCTTCCTCGTACTCCTCCCCCTGCATCTCCTCATATCACTCCCACTCGTCCCTTTCCTACTACGAAATCCTCCTGATGCTCCTGGTGCTCTTCCTCCTCCTCGTTTTATTCCTCATCCTCCTCCACCTCCTCTTCTTCTTCCGTCTCCTCTTCATCCTCGACCTCGTCATCGACCTCCTCGTATGTATCCTCCTGCTCGTTCTCCTGCTCGCCGTGCTCGACGTTGTATTCCTAATACTCCTCCTCGTGCTCCTCGTCCTCCTCCGCTTCGCAATGCTCCTCCTCCTCCTCCTCCTCCTCCTCCTACTCCTCCTCCTCCTCCTCTTTCTCGTCCTCGGATTCCTCCTCCTCCTCCTCCTTGTCCTCGTCCTCCTCCTCCTCCTCTTCCTCCTCCTCCTCCTCCTCCTCCTCCTCAGACATCCTCTTCTCCGCTTTCTCCGCCATGCCAGGGATGTCTTCGCACTCTCGATGCCGCTTCCAGGATGCACCCTCGTTAGAGATGCCCTCAAACAAATAGCTGTTGGGCCGGGTCCCAACTCCCTCCTCCATTCTCTTCCCGCGCAGCATCTCGTAGGTCTGTCCTCCTCCTTTTCTCCAGCCTGGTCGCTCCTCCCTGCTCGACGCGCTCTAGTGGAAGCATCTTCGTGATTTGTTCCAGGATAGCTCCCCCCTGATCTGAAGGGGCCCAAGGACACAACAATAAATACACACAAATCAAATAAAATAATCCCCCAATATTTTCCCATACTTTCTGGGTTTCTGTCTTCCCGCCCACTTCCCATATTTTCGAATATCTTCTGGGAAGTCGAAGATTCATTGTGTCTGTGTGTTTCTTCTCCTCCTGATGATCAGCCCTCGCAATTTACGAAGGCCTCGTGCTCGCGCCTCGGCGCCAGCTGCTGCCTCCGTCGGGCCAGGGGCGCCCAGATCCTTCCCGGAGCACAGGTCGACAACATAATTGCAACCAGGTGGTTCGTCTTGGTCTGGCCCCTCCTCGCTCCTCTCGATAAGGAGCTCCACCCAAGGACCCGCTTGCACTGTCCGCGTGCGGTTCCCCCATCCAGTACAGCTTTTCGTGGCCCCACAGGGGGGGGCTCCACCGAAGGCCCCAGTTGCGGTATTTGCATGCGGTTCCCCCACCCAGTACAACGTTTCGTGGCCCCATCGAGAGCTCCACCGAAGGCCCCAATGGCGGTGTCCGCATGGATGCGGTGCCCACAACTGCGTATGGTTGGGTCCTTCGCCAGGCTAACTTGCTTTTGCTTGCGCAGGCTAGGGGGCGCACGCACGCGCCAATAGCGTCAGGGCCTTCCCCTCATCTTCCTCCTCCTTCTGCCCTCTCAGGATTCCTTTGGGGGCTGGACAACCTCGAGCAGACCAGCTGCCGGAAGAGCCGCACCGCCGCGACACCACCAGGCTCCTTCTCCTCCTCCTCCTCCTCCTCCTCCTCCTCCCAATCCTCCTCTAGGCCCCGTGGAAGGCGAGCAGGGCTGGAGCTCCCCTCCGCAACGACCCCCTGACCTTTGCCCTTGCCGGAAGACGGGCCCGACGATCGGGACTCCGTGGCGCACTCGGAACCTTGTGCGCTCTCCCCTTCACGAAGCTGCGGCCTTCGGAAGGGTCAGAGAAGGAGTAGAGAATCAAGTTAGACAAGTCGAGCGCGTCAGAGACCCCGCTCGTGCCCGCCCAGCGAACGGAAAGCGTTCGCGCGGGGTCCCGCTTCCAACGGTTTGGCGCAGAGGAACTACGCGGGCCGCGCAAGGGCGGGAACGGCAACTCGTCCGATGAACGCGGCGGAGACGAAACATGCGACGCGCCGGACGCAGCATTGCCACTCCCGCTAGCAAGCTGTGCGGCGCTTGGGCGAGGTTCGTATTCGGCCTGCTCTCGCACGGCCCCGTTTTGAGCAGGGGCCGGCCGTTCCGGCATTCATTCCTGTAGGCCTAACGCGAACATGTCCTAGAACCAACTAATGTTCTAATAACAGAAAACAAAGGTCTTAGAACACAGAACCGACGCGTGAAAACAAAACGGCTTCAGCAAACCATGTTCTGATAACATGTTGCGCAAACCACAGACGGTGTTTACAACACTCGTTGGTGGGCCTATCGACAAACCGGGGCGCCTCGCCACTGCTCAACCGCTGCAGTTGCCGCGCTCGCCACGCCGAGGTGGGAACGCCACCTTTCGGGCGAGACCTGCGCGTCGCCGATGCGAAGGCGCAACTTTTCGCCCGCTCGGGCGTCGACATGGCGTGCGAAAAATGTGCGTGCGAAAAATTACAGCTGTCGGGGAGAATGGGACGCGGCGCGGGGGCGAAAACGGCACTTTGGTACTCTCGCGCGGGATGTGCGCCCCGTCCCTTTCCCTGCCGCGCACTTTTGCAACGTGGACGACGTAATGCACGTGGTGGCGGCAAAACTGTAACCCTTGCGTTGTTTTTATTTGGGCGCCCGAAATGGGTGCGGAAAAAATGGGTACAATGCCCAACAACGAATGTTGTCCCAAACCATCAGCGGCCGCTGTTGGGCGGGCGGCCTTCTGTTTCAAATGGACACACGCCGCGGCGGCGCGGACAGCGAGTCCTGTTCAAAATGAACAGGAACTGCTGTTGAGCATTGTACCCATTCTTTCCGTGCCCATCTCGTTCGTGCAGATTTTAGCAAGAAGGGTGGGCCCCCGCTTTGGCTGGCCATCGGCCGGCTAGGTGGCACATGGGGCAGAGGAGGTGTATACAGACGAATAAGGAACAACGCTCGGAGGAAAAGGGAGGCGAGAGCTCGGTCGAAGCAGCCTGCAAAGCTCTGAGCTTCGGGGACGGGTTGGGGTCGCCTCTTCTCTCTCTTTCCAGTCCTCGTCCCTGCCCCCCCTACGCTGCGCATGGGAACCAGTTCTTCTCTGGGGCCTCCAGCGAGGCCCCGGCGGGCGCGCGCGAGGCCGCGGGCGGGTGCGAGGACGCCGCGCTCCTGCAGCAGCAGCGGCCCCAGCAGTTGCAAGGCGTGCCCAGGTCGCGGACGCGCTCGGGCGGGCGAGACTTTGGTGGATTCTTATCTGGGTGGATCTCGCTGCCACTTCTCCCTTGGGGCGGCGCCGCGCCCTTGTTCTGCTCGCGGAAGCGGGCGTAGGCCTCGGAGACGCAGTAGAGGCACTCGTAGGGCCGCCCCTGGGGGCGGCTCGCGGGAACCGCGCAGGCGCGCCGCCGGCCACCGCCTGCGCGCGCCAGGCGGCGCGACGGCGGCCTCTTGCTGGAGGCTGGCAGCCCGGGCCGGCGCGCGAGGCTCGTGGCCCTCGCGGGTGCCGGCGGCGCCAGCGGAGTCGACTAGACTGAAGTCGGGCGTGTCCCCCTCCAGGAGGGCTTTCGACGAAAAATGAAAAACAAAAACTCCAAAAATATTCGCAAATGGTCAAAAATGCCAAACATGGTCCCCAGATTTTTTTGACTATTTTTGAATTTCCCCCCTGTAGAGGGACAGGCCCGGCTGACGACTAGACGCAAGGAGGACCCCAGGCAAGCGTGACCTTTTGGGGCGCGGCTTGAAGGCGTCGCGGGCAGGCCAGATCCAAGCGCGCAGGCCCGTGCTGAGGGACCCTCTGCGAGCCCGCCCCAAAGGTCACCCCGGCGCAGGGGCACTCTTGCGTGTAGCCGAGAGAAGTTCGGCGGCGTGCAGAGGCTGATCCTGCCGCCGGCGGTCATCGGCGCGCTGGCGGCGGCAGGCATCCGCCGCTGGCTGCCGAGGACGATGGAAGCAGCGACGCCTGCGGTCCCGTAGGCCTGGGAGTACCATCCCTTCCGCCTCTACGTGGCGCGAGGGCTCGCCGGAGGGCTCGGGCTTGCGGGCGGGCGCGATCCAGCTGTGCTCGCCTTGGAGGGCAGCCAAGGGCCAAGGGCGACGGAACGCGGCGGCGTGAGTCGCGGATCACGTCACGCGGCGCGGCGGTGGAGGACAGCGGAGCGCAACGGAGTCTGCGGAGGAGGAGGAGGAGGAGGAGGAGGAGGAGGAGGAGAAGGAGGAGGAGGAGGAGGAGGAGGAGGTGCGAGGTCTGTCTGTCTGTCTGTGTGTGTGCCCTATCTCTGCTGCGGAAAGGAAGGCAAAGGGTCAGGTAGCCGATCCCGCCCAAATTTCCGTTGGCTGTTGAGGATGAACCGAAGCCTTCTTACGGAAAGGGTCACCGTCCTTACGCGCACAAGGCAGGCTCGGCGGCGGCACGGGGCGCTTCCTGCAGAAGCCGAGCGCGGGCGCGCCACGGGGCGGCAAGGGGGCGAGCAGCTGCCCAGCCGCAGTCGGAGGCAGAGGCCACGCCCTCCGGATGGAGTCCTCCCCGCCAGGGACGATACGCCTGGCTCGCAGCGATTCCACCCGAAGGGAGGCCCATTGGTCGAGAAAAAGGTGTTGAGGCCAGTCGCGAGGACGGCGCCATGGGGTGGGTGGCTCAGTCCCAGGTGCCGCACCGCCGACGCGCCGCTGGCCCCACCTGCAAGCGAGAAGGGCGGTGATGATGAGAACGGCTGGGGGGGTTTCGACCGTGCGCGCTCCATTCTCGTGGGCAGCTGGATCGGCGGCCTATGCAGCGATAGGCAGCCGCAGGAGTGGCAGCGATTTTTGTGGGACAGCGGCGGTGTGATCGGAGGAGCGATTAATTAGCGCAGTCGGTGTGATCGCCTTCGGCACTTACTGGCTGGTGTTCTGCGTAAACACGCTTTTTCGTGTTGCTGGTGATCGCCCTGGTCGTGACGGGGTACGGTACGGCCCTCACACGATGGCGACTGCCCTGGACTTGCTGATCGTAAAGCTTGTCCGTCTGCTGTTGGCGCCGCTGATGTGAGCTCCTGGCTGCTGCACAATGGCACCGGCTCCTGGCGTCGGCGGCGATGCTGAGACCGACGGGGCCATCCAGCTGCTGCGGGGCCAAGCTACGGTCGGGCACTGTTGCCTAACGTGTCGCGGCGGAGGTCCCGGCGACAGGATACGCCTTGCGAGTGGATAGCGTGTCGCTCCGCTCCAGAGGTCGGGAGGCTTGGAAAAGCTCGGGACGTTAATTCCTGGGGACTGGGACGTGGATAACATGTCGCGCCGAAGCATGGTGGGCCAGAACCGGCGGCGCAACACGCTAAGCCAAAGTTCCCGACCGTATTTCGGTGCAGACAGGCAGCGAGTTCTACGCCCAGCTGTGCGCGCACGATGCCAGGGGGAAGGCCCATCGATTGGTGGTCAAGATGGGGGCCACTGCGGCTCGCGTGCTGCGCCCGCCGTCGAACAAGGAGGAGGAGGAGGAAGAGGAGGAGGAGGAGGAGGAGGAAAAGGAAGAGGAGGAGGAGGAGGGAGGAAGGAGCACGGAGGAGGACGAGAAGGAGGATGAGGAGGAAGAGGAGGAGGAGGAGGAGGAGGAGGAGGAGGAGGAGGAGGAGGAGGAGGAGGAGGAGGAGTTCGACCCCACTCGCGCAGCGAAATTTGAAAGATTACGAACCTCTGCGAGCTTGCTCTGCAGTGCTCAACGCCTTGGGCCAGAGGCCTTTGGCAATGCGGGAAAGATGCTCCGACCTGTTGGAGTTCGCGGTCTTGTGGCACTCCTGCCCAAGACCCTTCAGCATCTGGCTGGCGAAACATCCGCATCGGCAACATAACCATGACTTAAGTGTACCGTGCAATCTCATATGGTGCGTGTGATGTACCCAGCCCCTCGCGAAGTGCAGCTTTACTCCAGACTGGACCTAGAACAAATCACCGTAAACGGGGACGGGATTAAAACAGGGAGTTCCTCCACAAAGCTCGTCTTGCGAAGGTCGCGGAACTACAGCATAGAGTGCATCGGCGACCCGTTTCATCCAGGGAGTGGGTGGTCGAACAAACTCGGACCACAGCAGGGGCAGGAGGGGGAGAGTGGGCCTCACGCCTTTTCCTTCCTTTCGGCGCAAGTCGCTTCTCAGCCTCGAGCGCATCCACTGTGGCGCGGAGCAGGCGCAGCCTGACGAAGAGTGCATCTTCTGCTCCCAGTTCTCCACGCGCGCCCTGGATCCAATACAAACCTGATTCTTAGCAGCTGCGGCCCCTGCAGAACTGTCCGCCACGACTTTGCGCAAGATCATCCAAATGTCCAGGCACGGCCTCGCGGGCCTCCAGATGTGAGTAGACGAATGAGACCACGAAGGAGGCTGGGTCGCGATGGGGTCCGAACTGCTTTCCTACTTCAAACCACAAATGCGCGTCGGGGCCGGAAGGTGAGGCAAACTGTCGGTTGGCCCAAACTTCCGCCGCGTCTTCATTCTCCGTCGTATACACAACCACGCCTGAAGACTTCTGGGCAGCGAGCAGCAAGGCTCTGAGCTCGCCTCGGGAGGCGGACTGTCCTTCTTTCCCCTGCTGGGCCGCCGAAGGAAGCACTCGCGATCACAACAAGATTGAAATGCGAAAGCTGTGCAACAGCAGTTACCAGCCTCGAACGTATCCCTATCCCTAAGATTAACACGCCAAAAGGCGATGACAATCTTAGGGATTCGCCCTCAACAAAATAAGGGAATCCCGAAGATTGGCATCGTGATGAGGAGATGCCCAGCATAGGGATAGGGATATGTTCCAGGCTGGTAAAGCAAGCCCGACACGACGACGCCGAG